GCCCGAATCAGGATTTAAAGCATGCCAAATAATTGGTTAAAACATGAACAGAGCGTTTCAAGAACAGAGCGTGTCAAGAACAGAGCATTTCAAGAACAAATCATTAATGCAAAATAAAATCACGTAGTGGTCTCCTCTATTAGCCATGGCCAGTTCCCACTGGCAGGCAAACGAGTTCTAGTGTATAATCCCCACTAGTAGGGCCACAAGCGAACCGGTCCTATCACGAACATGTCGACATGTGCTAGCGTTTGTAACCTCCCCCACTAGCGGGGTCACGATTACACGACCATATCGGAGACAAAACCAAGCAAGATTTACAGAAATCACGATTCACGATCGTTCTCACTTTCAAAAATAAACCGAAGAATTTCATGTGGGCATGCTCAATTCTAGAAAATAAGGAAAATAATGAAAGTTCAAATTCCCTTTTTAATCATGCTCAAATGCAATTAAAATCCATTTAAACCTCGCCACCATCTCAGAAAACAATTAAAATATGCTTCAAAATTTTACGGGCTTTACCATAATTTACTTACCTTAGTCACGCAGAACAGAAGGCCTAATCCAAGTGCTAAGACCACAGGGCAAACAAGGACCTATTCACAATATTCTCGAGTTAATATCTATAAGGAAATTTTATTCCTTTATTTATTTTCATTTCTGCTTTTCTATCCGGAAATTAAGCATTAACTGGGATTGGTTATTTATCTATGTATTTACCATTATATAATTACCCATATGCAAATTTTCCTCAATTTCATGGACAAGCAATGGGGGAACCGGCCTTGAAAAAAATGGCCAACTCACGGGATTCTCCCCTTTCTTTCTCTCGGACCTCACACACAACAGCCAAACCCCCTAATTTCCTACATAAATCATCAACCAAAACCCATGCTCAAGTTGCCGAAATCCTCCCTATTTCAACAAAACTCTCGGACAACTCAAGCCCATTTCATATAGCCACTTAAACTCACAAATCAGCACTTAAACAACCAATTTCAGGAGATTAAAGAAGCCAACTTACCAGAAATGCTCAACAAGCAAAGCTGGAGCTGGCGGTAAAGGGAAGAGCCGGCGGGAAAATTGCAGGACTTTCACGGGGCCACTAGCAATTGAAGGAATAACAAGATTAGAGTGACCCAACATAAATCAAGGCTGAAAAAGAGGAGTTTCTGGACTGATTTTACCAGGGAAACCAGTAGCAGTCGGCGGCAAAGGGGAAGGAAGCAGAGCAGATCCGGCGGCTTCTCTGCAAAAGGGAGAAGTTCTAAGTCCTAGACTTGTTCTTGAGCAAGAGGGGAACAAAATCCATCAAGTTCTCTTACCAATTTTTGCAGATGGGGACGCTAGAATGCTGGTGATGTTCGGCAGCAGCAGGGAGAAGAAAACAGAGCAGACGCGAAAAATGGCTGGAAGAAAGAAGGAAGGAAAAGAAAAAAAGAAAAAGAGATGAGTCAGCCGGCCTTATCCAATAAGAGTTTAACCCCTTTGAAGTTTGAAAAATTGGCAATTAGGTCCATTAATAATGTTTCTTCACCATTAGGTCCCTAACTCAACTTAATATGCTTGAAATTTTTGGGGTATTACACTAAAAGTGTTGTTGTTTAATATTCGATTTTGACTTTCAAGTATCTTTTGTGGTCATCATGTAAAGATTTTTTCTTGTTAAGTGTCATTTGAGTTTTTTTTAAAGGGTTAGCATTTACATTTTCATTTTATTTACATCTGCTCATGCTTTCCTATTGATCTCTTTTAATTATAGGTTAAAAAGTGGTAGTTAATTATTATCATATACCAAAAAAAAAAAAGGGTAACTTTCAACAATATTTCTATACATACATATATATAAAAAAATATATATTCTACTAACGAATTGATCCTTGTGGATCCCAATGGCTATGCATCTAGTTGTGTGGATCACACGGGCACCTTTTGCCCGACTATTTTGACCTCTTTCTTGGAGCGCAATATATTTTGGGCTCTTCTACTTTGCTAGCAAAATCTTAAAAGTATCCTTGTACATGAACTCAAGCAAATTCCCTGGAAGTCTCCCATGTCTTTCAGACTTGATGAAGCTTATCTCAGAAACAAGTTTGGCAATATAATCTCCAAATCCTATAGACGTGGGCATCATCCTCCTCCCAATAATATGTCCTTTTCATGCAAATATTAAAAATAGTTAAATTAATTAATAACACATTTGATTTTATAAAAAAAATTAGTAGAATTCCCCCTAAAATATGAACTTTCGCCCTGTTAAGAAAACAACAAAAGCATATAAAAATATTCAACACTTCTATATTATGATCACTTGCACCAAATTCCAACCATCAAGCTCACAATAATCAAAATCTTTAATAATTCAAACTCATCCATATCAAAATCAATTATTATTATATTTGATTATATATATATATATAAACAGGCAGAGTTTTTCTTAAAATATCAACTGTTTCCTTATTAGCAAAAGAATTGAAAACATATAAAAATATTTAACACTTCCATATCATAATCACTCTCACCAAATTCCAACCATCAAACTCACAATAATCAAAATCTCTAATTATTCAAACTCATCTATATCAAAATCAATTATTATTTGATTTAATTTTTTTAAAAAAAGGCAAAATTTCACCTAAAATATCAACTTTCTCCCAATTAACAAAAGAACAGAAAACATATAAAAATATTCAACACTTCCATATGATGATCACCCTCACCAAATTCCAATCATCAAACTCACAATAATAAAAATCTCTAATAGTTCAAACTTATCCATATTAAAATTAGTTTCTCTTTCATAGCCTCCATCAATCTTACTTCATTTAAGTGTCACATTTGTGCTTTGATAAGTTGTAGAAAGAAAATTGCCAATGTTAATATAGGAAAAGCTTCTGAATGCTAACTTATGAATGCAAAATAATAAAAGGAAAAAATAGAGATGCTCATTGCACATTCCAGAACATGCAACTTACCTCAAGCAAAGTCCACAACATGCAACTTTCATTCACTTAATTCACTTTCTTTTTCTATTTTATTTTAAATAGATACTATGCACAAGGTTTTTTTTTTTTTTTTAAATAGATACTTATGCACAAGGTTTGTTCTAATCACAAATAAGTATTGAATTATATAATTAGATTAAAATAGCAATGTTTGGTAACATTTTTTATTTTATTCTATAATTTTCATACCTAAAAATTCTCCCAAGCAACCTCTTTTTTTCCTCAGGCCAACTAGACCAAAAAAGCACTAGATCATCATATAAATACTTTCATATTACTATTGCAGTCCTCTCAAACCTTTCATGGCTAAATATGCCTTAGTGATTTATTGTAAGCAACTTTCTTTGACTTGAGTCTGTTGGGGCATCGTCTCTTTTATCCATGCCATGTCTACTAGTCATCCAATTGCGGTTGCTTTTACTGTTGCATCTGTGTGGGTTGCTGGGTAATAGTGGATTGTTGCTATTGCTAATATATGAAAAGTTTACTCAAAGTGGATAGTTGCTATTGTGAGGGAGGTTGACTCAAATTAGGTAGTTGTTGTTATGTGGAAACCGCTCTACGAGGCCTCTAAATAAGATGACAAAGTTGCCTTTGTGGTTCTATTGGTGGATCAATGAGCTATTTGGAGGACGATGCACCTTGAGTACCTCTTCCCATACTTGTATACATAAAATAATGGAAATACATTACTCTTTCATAAGGATAACCAAAACTTTAAAGATTCAAAAAATAATAAAATAAAAATATTTAAAGCTACAATAAATGGAATAAATTCATATTAAAATATTAAAAATACAATATATCGTATAAAAATATATGAAGATAAACAACTTTGCCAACAATGTCAACAAGCAACCATGGTAAGCTTTGCCAAACATAATTCAGTAGCAACTTCATTAATATAGATGAAATGTTCCACCTTTGGAAATCAATTAGCCATGCCATCCGCTCCTGGCCTTACTTTATATTCATTATTGCATTTTCCATGCAATAAACCGAGTATCTTATCTGCCCTTTAGATGAGAGTTTGTATTCTGAAATAGTCTTGCCTCTCTGATATTTGTTGCCTTTTCCTTCTTTTACTTATTAAAAATATGTAATTCTTTATAATTATAAGATCTATCCTATACTACCAACCTGCTAAAGTTCTATTGACTGGCGAAAGATGTCTTCCATCCATGAGAAATGAAGCAAAAGTAAGAAGTCTTTGTCACATGGAGAACATCAAGCCAACACTACTAGAAAAATGACGTATACGGACCGAACATATACGGACCGAATAGTGTCGGTCCGAATAAATAAATATCCAAACCAATATTGGTCCGAACATATTTAGGTGGTCCAAAGTATACTACTGAACATATTCGGACCGGTATCGGTCCGTATATTTCTGGCGGGAATCCACAGTATCAAAGCGCCAATAATATTCACACC